AAACCCAATACTCACATGTATCAGTTACTCCTCACGTGCTGCTTTCTCTCTGAGACCGAACCGACATTTTCTTTGTTTCCTCGTCACTGGCGCGCATTGCATCCTGGGATACGGTGGGCTGCGAGGAAGAGGACTCTTCAAATCCGGGAAAAGAAGAAGGCCGCTCTCCAACCCGCCCCTCCCCCTCTCTTCTGTCTGTCCGCAGAATCAGAAGTCCTTTATTGGTCCCACAGAGGGACATTAACATGGTTACAGCAACAGTGGAGATAGATGCTGCTCCCAGACCGTAGTGGAGGAATACAGGGGAGGACTCTCTGCAGTCTTCCCGGACTGAAGCACCAGGCTTCGGCTTCAATAACCCACTCTGAAATGAGGCAGACAGGCAGGCTGTTCCTTGGGAGGCCGCTGTGTTTCCTCAGGACTTTGTTATACAGCTAACTGGAGACAGACTGATCACTGCTGCTACTCCCGCTCTCTTCCGGACACACACTACGCTCGCTCACTCTCACTCTAGACATGCACGCGCCACTTGCACGCGCCACACCTCCCTCTCTCTCTCTTAAAGGGATAGGCGACCCCACTCTGCATCACCCTGCTATTATAAGATAGATAGATAGAGAGATAGAGAGATAGAGAGAGAGAGATAGAGAGATAGAGAGATAGATAGATAGATAGATAGATATATAGATAGATAGATCATATCATATATATCAGGCTACAGCCCTTGTAAAGCAATATATGGTTTCATGAAAAATATCTACTGTTTATTTGTAGATATCTACTAAAGCATACAAGTATTAGTTAATTCACAGAAAGGCTACATCATGCCTGTGATTTGGCCCGTGAGTCGCTCCGGACCGCCCAGTCTAAAATGAAAGCCCGGTACGACAAAAAGTCAGTTGCTCAGGAATTCCAAACCGGTGGCCGAGTATTAGTTCTGCTGCCCGTTGTTGGTTTGGCCCTGCAAGCAAAGTTTTCCGGCCCGTATGAGGTGGGCCGTAAACTCAGTGGAACGGATTATATGATCCGCACTCCGGATCGTAGAAAAAACTTGTGTGTGTCACATACACATGCTTAAAATGTATGTTGATCGTAAAAGTGGCGCCGCTCAATCTCCGATAGTAACGCCTATTGCCTCTGTGTCTGTCACTCAGCCACCTTACAGCCCCAGTGATGACGGGCTGAGCGACAGGCGCGCTTCTGTGTCCTGTGCGCGCCTCGGTAATTCAGCGATATTGTCCAACCTGAATGAACATTTAGCACATCTGTCCTACTCACCCTGGGCTGGTATTCACAGGCTTACTCACACACAGCCACACAGACACAGGAGGAGGAAGAAATATCTGCACACAAATGACATAACGACCCAGGGTCGTAACAGTTACCCTCGGTTATAGCTCCTCCAGAGAGACCTCTCTCCTCTCTCCTCTAAATCAGTGTATCCTCGGTTACGGCTCCAACAGACTACCTCCTCGATAATCGATCCTCGATGAGCCTTAAGAAAAATGTGTTTTCCTTCGAGACGGCGCGCTGACATCCATTTCCGGGTCACTGCCGGAGGATCGAGGAGTCGAGGACGCGAACATTTGAGAAATGACAAACGGCTAATTTCAGAGGACTCGAGACGACCGGCGACCCTCCCAGACAGGCGCAAAGACGCGAGGGCCCGTCCACAACTGCGCACGACTGTGACCGCAGTTTTAATTAGTTTTATTATTCAAATTTAAAATGTATTTTCAGTGTTTATGTATTGATCACATGTATTTGTTTTTCTGTCTATAGCCATATTTATACATTTATTTGGGAGTGTGTATGGATAGTCTTTATATATCATTTTGTATTTCTCTATGTTTAATTGTATTGTTTATATATATTTTATATATTTATGTTTATTATTTATGTGTGATGTTTATATGTCTAATTTTAGTCTTTTTTACATTAGGTTCTAACTTTTTAATATATTTGTTATATATTTAGTTTTATTGTTTAAACTTTTATTATCATCTGTTTTAAATATTATACGTTTTTATGCAGTTTTATTTTTTTTCAGTGTTTTTTATTTTAACCTGTTAAGCATCAAGCCTGTTTTTCATGTTTCAGGCTCGAAAATGACATGCCCAAAACAAATGACTACAACTTAACTTCTAAAAGGGTTATATGAATAATGTCTTTTATCAAAGCAAGGTTACATCTGTGAGTTGGATGTAGAAGTGTCAGAATCCATATAGATGTTTTTTATTTTAAAGAAAATTCAGATTTTACATAGTAAAAAACTGTAAATTATAGTGTCCGTCCAAAAATTATTTTTTACTTATAGTGAAAACTACCCTTGGATGATGGGTTAGTAGACTAAAAGCTTTAGGAATCCAAAGTACAACATATAATAAGTACCCTGTATCAAGATTGATGCAAAACTAGTGACATTTGACCTTTTTAGAGAGGTTTAGCCAAAACCACCCCACCTCTGAGGTGATTTGGGTGAAAATGTTTTTTTTTCCATATCTCTGGCCCCCCTTGGTCGATTTTGATGGTTGACACCTCTTTCTGACCGTTAGAGCCAATAGAATTGAAGGGGGAGGCCCCCACACACACACGTTGTGAAGAGAAAAGGTGGGGGCTGCGCGCATGTAAATGTGCAGCAGAGTGGACCGATCTCTCGCTCTGACATTTGGAAACGAAAAAGCAGTTTTATTTCTTATGGATTATCAGAAATAATTTCAAAGAGGACACGGACACATTGGATTAACCTATGGATTAACTGCAGCATCGTTTTTTATCGTTTTCAATGCCATTGAAGACCAGTTTTGACCAAGGTAAGCCATGTTAGCGTTTCTAGCTACCTAGCTCCACATGTTATGATGTACGCTTTCGTTTATAGCGTCGCAAATGTTTATCACTGAGTGTTGAGGTGGGCACCACCAGATTCAGTGTCTCCAGGACACCAAAAACGAGTGGTTGGCTGTGCATCTAGGATAAGTAATAAGGGAGTTATTGTGAGTTTAGTTGCAGAGATAGGTTACATTTTTTCGCTCGTGGCTAATTCAGAGGCTGAGTGTTAGCATTGTGGGGGTTTTTTGGAGAAAAAAAATTAAAAAGATCAGTTAGCTGAGTTTCTTCCCGTTACATGGATATAAAACATTCATAGTTTATTAAATATTAAGATTCCTTAGACGTTGTTTCCTGCAAATGACGCGTTTATCCGCCCGGTACCGGGGGGGCCGTGCGTAACAGGTTAATTGTTTAATTGTTAGTGTTTATATATGTAGTATATTTTTTATCCTTACCCAGGTTGAACCTATATTATTATTGTCTGCAGGTAGAGACTGTGAGCAGGTCAACCCGTGGGGCGAGTCCTCTCCGGACGACCACCGCTCAGAGGGACAGGGACGCCCCGGGACAGAAACAAACACACCTCCAGCTGCAGAGAGGAACCTTCTGACAGCACAGGGACGCCCCGGGACAGAAACAAACACACCTCCAGCTGCAGAGAGGAACCTTCTGACAGCACAGGGACGCCCCGGGACAGAAACAAACACACCTCCAGCTGCAGAGAGGGGTATCTGATGTAGCATCTACTAATTTAAATAATGATTCACTGACAGATTAACATAACATCATAACACAGAATATAGATGTGTGAAATGGGTTAGTACTACCTTTATTTTGGCATATTTTGAAAATGTAACTCATAATTATTCATAAGAACAAAGAGCAAACATTGTTAAATAAATAAATAAGGTAAGGGTGACCCTTTATGTTATTATAAAATGTGTTTATTTGGCATATGATACTATAATAACTGATATTAAATACATTGATAATTATACATAAGCACTGGATGGAAATCAATGGCAATAATAGGTAATTATTAAATAAATAATTTCAAGCAGATTTCCACATGTCTTGGTACTTCCTGTTTAAATGTAATTGCTATTACTTTGCATAGCCTCGCCAGCTCTATCAAACTTTACTGACAAAATAAACAGTTTTTAAGCTTTTAACTGAACTGTTAAGTTGTCACAGTTGTTTGGAGCTGCTGCCGGGTCTGCTTAAATAAACACGACAACAATCTTTTTTATAATTCCCCTCACTGCCTGAACGTAGACACAGGTCCGCACTGTCTGACCACAGGGGGTTAAACAATAGCTAAGGTTTATTAGCTAAATAGCAATAAGTGGTGGTGCACCAGGAGCTACAGTGCGGGCCGCCAACAGCAATGTAAGATAGTGTTGGTGTTTCGGGTCTGAGCCGGATCCCAGCTGAACATTATCCCACACTCAGATCACTGAACTGGTAGCTTGCTAGTATTATATAGCATCTTCTTTCACTCATACAAACTTTGTTATTGTTTAGAGTGTTTAACCTGTTAAGCCCCGAGCCTGTTTTTCAGGTCTCAGGCTCGAAAATGACATGCCCAGAACAAATTACTATATCTTCACTTCTAAAAAGGGAAATCAATAATCTTTTTTCTCAAAGCAAGGTTACATCTGTGAGTTGGATGTAGAAAAGTGAGAATCAATATAGATGTTTTTATTTTAAAGTAAATTCAGATTGAACAAAAAAACATTACTTATAGTGAAAACCACCCTTGAATGATGGGATCGGAGACTAAAAGCTTTAGGAATCCAAACTATAACATATAATAAGTACCCTGTATCAAGATTGATGCAAATCAAGTGACATTTGACCTTTTTAGAGAGGTTTAGGAAAAGAAAACCACTTCTGGGGTAATTTGCCATATCTCTGGAACCCAGTGGTCGATTTTGAACCGTTAGAGCCAATCGAATCGAGGGGGGGTTCCTAAATCCACCTACACGTTACCATTGATAAGTGAGAGTGATGCGCAGCCAGCATGCCTAAACCGAAAGCTATGTTACACTCTGAAAACTGAAAACGGCTCATTGCCATAAATATGATGATGGATTATCAGTAATCATTTCAAAGGGACACAGAGACATTGGATTAACCTTCAGCACCGTTTATCTAAGTTGTAATGCCATTGAACAGAACTTTTGATCAGAACACAGCAAAGGTAAGACGTATTACACTTAGATCGTTGTTGAATTAGATGAGCTTTATTCAATGGTCCAGACGACATACAAACAGGAGGACACATTTCTTCGCTTCATGGTAAAATAAAATGATCAGTCTCAAAAAGAACATAAAGAACACGGTCAAAAGACTTTTCCGCTTCCCCGTCCCATCACCATCAGCTGTGTCCAACAACCTACCATATATAGGCATATACCCATGCACGTGAGACTGACGCACATATCATAACAAATAAGTGATCCTTAAATTAATAAATTTTAAACCATAGTGTGACTCACAACAATACCTGATAATTAAGAGTTTAATCTAATTTATATTATTATTAAGCCTAACATTGAGACAATAAAAACATAAGGAAAATGGCTCTAACATACCAGCCCCTAATTGCTTATTACATAGCAATTACCAATAATAATATATCAACAGAGTCATTTTAACAAAACATATAACATCCATCCGGAGCATATTTGTATACTCAAGTCCATAGTATATTGTATACTTTCAAGTCCATGTAAGACCAGTACTGAGTGTGTAGGTCTAGTACTAATTGTCTGTAATGGGGTAGGAGACCAAGAGTCTAGTCCTTTGGTCTAACAGTCAGAGGTGCACGTGACTGAAAGGCTAAGGCTTAGTAGGCTCAGTCTGTTGCCTCCAGGAGCAGACACAACTTAGTTATGGGTCTTTCAATGGTACTAGTTTTGGTTTGAACCAGGACACTCCTAACAAGTCCTTTTGAACCAGGAAGGGTCTTAACTACACGTCCCAGGAGCCAAGTGTTCCTCGGTGCGTTCTCAACGATGACGACCAGGTCTCCGGGGGTGAAGTTTCTTTTGATAGTATTCCAGTTGGGCCGTTCTTGCATCAAAGGAAGGTATTCCCTGGTCCAGCGCTTCCAAAACAGGTCAGCAAGGTATTGCACCTGCCTCCTGGCTGAAGAGTTAGCAGCTGATAGCCAGTAACGTTGAAGGAGTTTGGAGAGCATGTGACCTGAGTGACCAACTTGATGATGTATGCGGCTTAGTATCAACTTGGAAATATGAGAATGTTTAAGTAGAATCATTGGATGTTTGACCTCAGTTGGCATCCTCTGCCTTTACAGTGTTCCAGTTAAGAGCTTTCCCCATATATGCGTTTGCTATCTTGAGTACATCTCCAAAAAGCACCTTTAGCAGTCTCTTAGCTTCAGCAAAGCCACTGTTAGCATCCATATGAAGGCAGCTTCTCACCAGTTCCCTGCAGGATCCAGAAGTATATTGTTCCAGGTAATATAATCGATCCTGGTTACTGGTGGTTTTCTCCTCAATGCCATGTTGAAATGCCCTCATAAATATTTGATAATTCAGGGGATTGCCATCAAAAACTGGGATTTCCCTGCTGGGCAGTGATGTTTGTTTTTGTTGAAGTCCAAGTAAATTAACAATGTCATTTTGTCTCTGCATCACAGTCAGGAAATTGTTATTATACATTATTATTTGTCCCTGTAATTCCTGCTTCTCTAGCTGTGTGTTGAGGGCTTTGGTTTGTATTACCAATATTTTCTGGTGGTCTGGGTTGTTGGTATAGAAGCCTTTGAAGTGGTGTTTTGGGAATAGGTCCAAACTCAGCAAAGGTAATTGGAGACGGCTCTGCATCCATTGACATATCTGATTTTACTCTGTAGCTTTTTAAATAGTCATTCATGCCATCATATTTTGCTCGTGTTGGATTTTGTGAACCAGTCTCAAAATGCTCCAGGACTTTCATGTTTGCATCAGATTCAGCTAGGCTCACTTCCATTTCCATTCGTTCGGATCTAGCTTGCAGTTGAGCCTTTTCAATTTCAAATGCATGCTTTTCTTTTAATCCTGCTGCCCGGGCAGGGAGGGCAGCTCTTTCTGTGGCCACTTTGAGGTGGGTTGAGGAAGCAGAAGAAGTTGCTGATCCTGCTTTTGAACCAGGTGAGCTCCTCCTGGCTGATGCATTGGACACACTATCATGGGGTTCAATCAGTGTCTGAGGATCCTTTTGAGAGCTTTTCCACATTTCCACATCCTGAAAGAAATTCATGAATGCAGACATGTTTGGTTCATACCAATCCATTCTCTCAGTTTCCCTGATTTCCTCAGATAAAAGCCTTTGAACAAGTCCATGACACTCCATCAATTCATTGAGTAACATCTTGAACGTTGCAACAGCTTCATCCACCTTTTCCATATTTCCACCTCGCACCAGTAATGCTTTAATTTCATTCATTCTGCGGGTGCATGCTCCAAGTTTTCCTCTTCGCGATTGGCTGAGAGTTTGAAATCTCTCCTCTGCTGCCGCAACATCAGCTGGAGGATTATCAGGATCCATTGTTTCTTTTTCTTTAATTAATCCACATGAAATAAAGTCATTAATATTTCCAAGAACAGTTCTTCGTGAATCCTGTTTTTGTGCCAAACATTCCTTTAACGTCCGCTCGCTGTTTCCAAAGCAGAGCTGAAATCCACACGAATCCTGTGCTTGTCCCTCGAAGTTTAATCCACAGCTTGCGTAGTCTTTTGACTAAATGTGGTGGCCTTTTAATCCTAGTCTACATTTAATAGCCACCTCTGTCGGGGTTGTGGGTTTTGACGCGCCTCTCTTTGTTTCCAAACAATTCAGCGGAGATTGTTGTTGAATTAGATGAGCTTTATTCAATGGTCCAGACGACATACAAACAGGAGCACATTCCTTCGCTTCAAAGTAAAATAAAGTTATCCGTCTCAAAAAGAACATAAAGAACACGGTCAAAATACTTTTCCGCTTCCCCGTCCCATCACCATCAGCTGTGTCCATCAACCTACCATATATAGGCATATACCCATGCACGTGAGACTGACGCACATATCATAACAAATAAGTGAGCCTTAAATTAATACATTTTAAACCATAGTGTGACTCACAAAAATACCTGATAAGTGAGAGTTTAATCTAATTGATATTATTATTAAGCGTAACATTCAGACAATAATAACAAAAGGAAAATGGCTCTAACACTCTGGATCTGAGTTCCTGGCTGGTTCTGGTCCTCCACAGTCCTCTCCATCAGCTTCTGTTTCCAGGTGTTCAGCTGAGCTGCTGGCTGGAGGCTCGGCCTCTCTGTTCTCCTCAGTTTGAGTTTGATGAAGCTGTGAGGACTGACGACCAACACACTTATGGAATTTGATATGATGACTCCGGTTGAATCTTTTGTCACAAACACTGCAGCTGTATGGTTTCTCTCCTGTGTGGATTCTCATGTGTTTCTTTAAATCTCCAATCCCTGCAAAACATCTCTTACAAATTGAGCAGCTGTATGGTTTCTCTCCTGTGTGGACTCTCATGTGTTTCTTTAAATCTCCTCTCTGTGCAAAACATTTCTCACAAATTGAGCAGATGAATGGTTTCTCTCCTGTGTGGATTCTCATGTGTTTCTTTAAATCTCCTCTCTGTGCAAAAGATTTCTCACACAAAGAGCAGCCAAATGTTTTCTCTCCTGCACTACGTGTTGAATCACTGACAGGGTCTTGTTTATTTCTCTGAGAGTTTGAACCTGGTTCTCTGGTCTCCTTCCAATCAGCCCTGTCTTCAGTGTCAGGTTCAGAAGAGTCTCCAGGGTCGTCTTCAGTGTCAGGTTCAGAAGAGTCTCCAGGGTTGTCCTCAGTCTCTGGTTGTAAATGTCTCTCTGGATCTGAGTTCCTGGCTGGTTCTGGTCCTCCACAGTCCTCTCCATCAGCTTCTGTTTCCAGGTGTTCAGCTGAGCTGCTGGCTGGAGGCTCGGCCTCTCTGTTCTCCTCAGTTTGAGTTTGATGAAGCTGTGAGGACTGACGACCAACACACTTATGGAATTTGATATGATGACTCCGGTTGAATCTTTTGTCACAAACACTGCAGCTGTATGGTTTCTCTCCTGTGTGGATTCTCATGTGTTTCTTTAAATCTCCAATCCCTGCAAAACATCTCTTACAAATTGAGCAGCTGTATGGTTTCTCTCCTGTGTGGACTCTCATGTGTTTCTTTAAATCTCCTCTCTCTGTAAAAGATTTCTTACAAATTGAGCAGATGAATGGTCTCTCTCCTGTGTGGATTCTCATGTGTTTCTTTAAATATACTCTCTGTGCAAAAGATTTCTTACAAATTGAGCAGATGAATGGTTTCTCTCCTGTGTGGAGTCTCATGTGTTTCTTTAAATTTCCTCTCTGTGCAAAAGATATCTTACAAACTGAGCAGCCAAATGTTTTCTCTCCTGTGTGGACTCTCATGTGCCGATTTAAATTTCCTCTCTGTGTAAACGTTTTCTCACACAAAGAGCAGCCAAATGTTTTCTCTCCTGCACTACGTCTTGAATCACTGACAGGGTCTTGTTTATTTCTCTGAGAGTTTGAACCTGGTTCTCTGGTCTTCTTCCAATCAGCCCTGTCTTCAGTGTCAGGTTCAGAAGAGTTTTCAGTGTCAGGTTCAGAAGAGTCTCCAGGGTTGTCCTCAGTCTCAGGTTGTAAATGTCTCTCTGGATCTGAGTTCCTGGCTGGTTCAGGTCCTCCACAGTCCTCTCCATCAGCTTCTGTTTCCATGTGTTCAGTTTGTCTTTGATGAAGCTGAGAGGACGGAGGTTTCTCTTCATCATCTTCACTCTTCACAGGGACAGGAGTGAATGTGGACTTGGTGATATCAGCCTCCTCCAGCCCTTGAAGCTGCTCTCCCTCCTGACTGCTCCAGAGTTCCTCCTGCTCCTCTTTAATGTGTGGGGGGGGCTCTGGGTCCTCCTGGTCCAGACTGGAGCTCCACTCCTGCTGCTCAGGGGGAACCTCTTCTTTAACCACCACCAGCTGCTGGACGTCTGCAGGAAACAGGAAACACATATTCAGAGAAACTGTAGAGTACTAGAATTTAAAATCTTACCACGAGTAACACTTCTTTAACTTTGCAGCCCTTATCCAATCCATATTTTAAATGCTTTTCCAGATGCCCTGGAGAGTTTCAGGACAACAGGTGAGTTAGTACTGTCGCAGATCTAAAACGTAGTTTCACTGCCGCTTAGCAAGGCGTCGGCCGTTCACGGAGTGTGAGGGCTTAGCCTTACAGTTTGTGACCTGTCTGCAGAATCGTTAGCTGAGAACTGGTGTTGGAGTTTCTCAGAGTAGTCGTTTAGCATCTCTCACCGCCTTGCTAAACCTGTACTTGGACTCAAACAGGTGCATCTCAATAAATTGGATATCATGGAAAAGTGAGTTTATATCAGTAATTCAATTTATAAAGTTTAAACTCATACATCACATAGATTCATCAGATACAAAGGGATTATTTCCAGCGTTTTAATCTTGATGATTGCGGTTTACAGCTAATGAAAGCCAAAATTCAGCATCTCAGAAAATGTGAATATAACATAAGACCAATGCAAAAACTGATTTTTTAATAATATAGAAATGCTGGCCTTCTGAAAAGTATGTTAATGTTCCTGCTGTCAGTACTTGGTTGGACTCCTTTAGCATGAATAACTGCATCAATGCGGCGTGGCATGGAGACTATCAGTCTGTGGCACTGCTGAAGTGTGATGAAGCCCAGGTTGCTTCACTAGCGGCCTTCAGCTCGTCTGCATCGTTGGGTCTCGTGTGCCTCCCCTTCCTCTCGACAATACATAGAATCTCTACAATAATTCTCCAAATTCTGACTTTTTCCCAAAATGTTGACTTTTTCTAAAATGCTGCAAAGTCAGCAACATTCTGACTTTGTTTCTCAGAATCCTGACTTTTTTCTGGAAAACTCAGAATAATTACGTTTTTCTCCAAAGTCTGACCTTTTTCTAAAATGCTGAATTTTTCAGAAAATCTCAATATTCTGACTTTTCAGATAACCTCAGAATTTTGACTTATTTTTTTAAACCACACAATTCTGAATAACTTTCTCAAAATCCTGACTTTTTCCCCAAATGCTGACTTTTTCTAAAATGCTGAATTTTTCAACGGTTCAGGCTGGAGGTGGTGGGGTAACGGTGGGGGGGATATTTTCTTGGCATACTTTGGGCCGCTTACTACCAATTGATCATCGTCTAAACGCCACAGCCTACCTGAGTGTTGTTTCTGACCATGTCCATCCCTTTATGACCACAGTGTACCCATCTTCTGATGCTACTTCCAGCAGGATAACGCCCCATGTCACAAAGCTCTAATAATCTCCAACTGGTTTCTTGAACATGGCAATGAGTTCACTGTTCTCCAATGGCCACAGTCACCTGATCTAAATCCTATAGAGCCCCTTTGGGATGTGGTGGAACGAGAGATTGGAATCAGCCAACAGACCTGTCAAAATCTCTGAGGAGTGTTTCCAGCATCTTGTTGAGTCTATGCCACAAAGAATTAAGGCAGTTCTGAAGGCAAAAAGGGGGTCCAACCCCTTCTAATCAAAAACTGTATAATTACTGCAGAAATATGAAAATGGTATCAAATAGAGCGTCAGATGGCAGAGACAGCAATAAAGAGTCTAAATAGTTGGAGAGAGTGAATAAAAAGAGAGTTAGTAAAGAGGGAACAGACCTGCTCTGTGGATCTGAAGCTGAGGCTGTAAAACAGCGTCCAGTAGTTTCCGGTGTCTCTCGTTCTCCTGTTTTGAACGAGACAGTTCCTCCTCGTACTCTGCTATCGTTCTTTCAAACAGAACAAAGATGTCTTCAGCAGCCGCAGTGAGTCGCTGCTTCACCAACGAGAGCAGCACAACACTCATGTTTACTAAATCACCACTTCCTGTTAAACACACTGTTTCTCCGTGTGCTTCAGTCTCTGTTAAACACACCGTTTCTCCGTGTGCTTCAGTCTCTGTTAAACACACCGTTTCTCCGTGTGCTTCAGTCTCTGTTAGACACACCGTTTCTCCGTGTGCTTCAGTCTCTGTTAAACACACCGTTTCTCCGTGTGCTTCAGTCTCTGTTAGACACACCGTTTCTCCGTGTGCTTCAGTCTCTGTTAAACACACCGTTTCTCCGTGTGCTTCAGTCTCTGTTAGACACACCGTTTCTCCGTGTGCTTCAGTCTCTGTTAAACACACCGTTTCTCCGTGTGCTTCAGTCTCTGTTAAACACACCGTTTCTCCGTGTGCTTCAGTCTCTGTTAAACACACCGTTTCTCCGTGTGCTTCAGTCTCTGTTAAACACACCGTTTCTCCGTGTGCTTCAGTCTCTGTTAAACACACCGTTTCTCCGCGTGCTTCAGTCTCTGTTAGACACACTGTTTCTCCGTGTGCTTCAGTCTCTGTTAGACACACCGTTTCTCCGTGTGCTTCAGTCTCTGTTAAACACACCGTTTCTCCGTGTGCTTCAGTCTCTGTTAAACACACTGTTTCTCCGTGTGCTTCAGTCTCTGTTAAACACACTGTTTCTCTGCGTGCTTCAGTCTCTGTTAAACACACTGTTTCTCCGTGTGCTTCAGTCTCTGTTAAACACACTGTTTCTCTCTGAAGCTTCCTGAGCTGCTGTTCAGCTGGACGGCAGGAAGCAGAGGTTTGGGAGGATGATGTCCCTGATGCTGTTTTGATTTCTCCAGCACCACGGGGGGGTCCTGTGTGGATGGCAGCTCCTTCCTTAGCAGATCCAGTTCTCCAGAATTGTCCTAATCACAAGGAAAACAAGAGAAAGAAAAAATGAATTAATAAACACAGGGTTGCAAAATGATGATTGCAAAATGTAATGCAGCATTACAGACAAACCATCCCTAAAGGATTACTTAAAATGACGTACTGTTTTGGTTTTAAAAATGTCTATATATCCAAAACATGTCTCTGAAGTGTTTTTCTCAAAATACCAAACAGATCACTTTTGTACCAATGCCTCATACCCCTCTATTTCAGCCCTGTTAGAAAAGTGCTGATTCTGGGTCAGGCGATTTAAATGTAACTGAGCTGCTGGCCACGCCCCTTTGGAGCTGCTGCTGGCCACGCCCCTTTGGAGCGTCCGCATGCAATCAGTGAGCTCTGTGAGGAGAAGGCTGTCTACCAGCAGAAACTCAGCTAAACGCTGCCGTGATTAAACGCCATATCATGTTCCAAACCACATCAAGGATCATTTCAGAAACAGTATGGAGCTCAAAACGCTTTCTCTGACGACGATGACTACAAGGTGAGTTCTTTTTTATTCCCTGCTTCTTTATACAGCGATGGTTGCTAATGTAAACACAGACCATAATACTTCCAAAACACGTCTGTTGTGGCAAATCAACCCTCACAACGGGAAAGAATGAAACAGAGAGGAATCAATAAAACACAAACACAGACACAGTTGAAATCAATCATTATTATTTAGCTGCGCAACACCAAACAACAATGGGGAAACATTACCTGCTCTCAAGCAATCATACAGCAATGCTCCCACCCAGTAGAACTTTACAGAGACATGTTTAACGCACACACATTTTATCATGTAGCCAACCACACAAACCGTCACATGTTTTCCCCTCTGAATGCCACACTTGTATATGTTGAAAAGTCAGCATCTCATGACATCCTTAGGAGTAGTAAACTAACAAAAGTGAACTGTTCTTATAACCTGAGACCTTCGCTGAACTTCCTCTACACTGTAAAAAAATAATTGTAAAAAAATGTCCGTTAAAAAAAGGAAAAAAACTGTAAAAGAAAATGCGGAGATAACATGTAAAAAAAAAGTAACTTACCTTACCACAAGTAACCTCTATTACTGTAATTTTACATGAAATCTTTTTCTTTTAACATATATTAATTGTTAGAATAGAGTCATACACCTCTAGAAAAACTGAATAAATATTTTTTTAAATGATCAAAAAAAGCTGAAAGAAAGAAGATTACTGTTGTCATTTGAAAAAATACCGTAAACGTTTTTAAGCTTCTTCTTGCCCCTTTTGAACATGATAGAAACTTTGAGAATACATTTTTATACCTTGAACGTTTTTTTATTTTGCCCATCTTTGTTATAATTATTATTGTTTGTTTTGTTTCTAACATGTTCAATAAATTGACTAATACAATTTTGTTTTTAAAGAGCCGCTGTTTTGGTGATGGTGTTAGTGTGATGAGTCCATGTCAGGTCCTCAGTGATGAGTCAGGTCCTCAGTGATGAGTCCATGTCAGGTCCTCAGTGATGAGTCAGGTCCTCAGTGATGAGTCCATGTCAGGTCCTCAGTGATGAGTCCATGTCAGGTCCTCAGTGATGAGTCCATGTCAGGTCCTTAGTGATGAGTCAGGTCCTCAGAGATGAGTCCATGTCAGGTCCTTAGTGATGAGTCAGGTCTTCAGTGATGAGTCCATGTCAGGTCCTTAGTGATGAGTCAGGTCCTCAGAGATGAGTCCATGTCAGGTCCTTAGTGATGAGTCAGGTCTTCAGTGATGAGTCCATGTCAGGTCCTCAGAGATGAGTCCATGTCAGGTCCTCAGTGATGAGTCCATGTCAGGTCCTTAGTGATGAGTCAGGTCTTCAGTGATGAGTCCATGTCAGGTCCTCAGGGATGAGTCCATGTCAGGTCCTCAGTGATGAGTCCATGTCAGGTCTTCAGTGATGAGTCCATGTCAGGTCCTCAGTGATGAGTCCATGTCAGGTCCTTAGTGATGAGTCAGGTCTTCAGTGATGAGTCCATGTCAGGTCCTCAGGGATGAGTCCATGTCAGGTCCTCAGTGATGACTCCATGTCAGGTCTTCAGTGATGAGTCCATGTCAGGTCCTCAGTGATGTGGACACCGAGGAACCTGAAGCTGCTGACTCTCTCCACCGTAGTCCCATTGATGGCGATGGGGGCGTGTCCCTCTCTCTGCTGCTTCCTGTAATCCACAATCAGCTCCTTGGTTTTGCTGACGTTGAGATGGAGGTTGTTATCCTGGCACCAAGATGTCAGGTTTTCGACCTCCTCTCTGTACGCCGTCTCGTCGCCGTCGGTGATCAGGCCGATGACGGTCGTGTCGTCAGCAAACTTCATGAAATCTAAGACCATTTACATGTAAAACACAAAGTAAACATGTCATTTTACTTTGCAAAAGCCCAAGTTTACATTGACTGTCAGATGTTTTGTAGAAAAATAATCACAAATATATATATACAATATATTATTGAAAATAATAATATACATCACAAAAATAAAAACAATAAATAAAATATATTTTAAGTAATAATAAATCAGAATAGACCTGCAATGAAACATTTCAACATTTAACAATAGCCAACATTTTGTTCAAAAGATAACAATTATAAACACAAAAGAAATCTAGCAGTTATGTGCGTGCGTGTGTACATGACTGTGTGCTTCAACTCTCTCCATTCAAAGTCAGCGACGTTTGTAATTAATGAATGCACCTTTATCTTTATCGAGTGCTGTTTTTGTTTGTATTCCTTCCTCTCCACTTTAGTCCCATTGTCCGGATTGATCTTGAATAGGCACCTGTTAAGACAGAAGTACACTTACATTTAGTGTTTAATTACAAATTATGTGGATGATACAGCTATTAATTGTCTTTACAGTTATACAGCTTGAAGTCAAAGGGCAATGCTACTCTTAAATGTACTTTTCATTAACTGTTATGATCATATCTGTGCATTTAAAGCATTGGTTTGAATAGATTTTGTTATATAAAGTCGTCACTTGGCATCACTATCACACTGGACAGTATCGCAGCAGGTCTGTAAACAGGAGCAAGCGGTCACTTGAAGATCATTTGAATGTGGGTAGCTACGAGTGCCATCTTGAGAGTGTGTAACTGGGGCAGATGAGGTGCGTGTCAGCAGCAGAGTGAGCGGTGTAAAAGCATCGTAGTTAACCGAAAGAAGTTGTAATGTGTTTGTTCACTGCAATAATACCAGGTTCCGGTGCCCATCCCATTTCGGTGCAAGAAATAGTTGCGTCTTCCTCGTCAGATTCCATTGTCATCAGGTGCTGACACTCACGCTAAGCCTTTACTTGGTGGTACAAGTACAACATTATAATTATACTTGTGTGTTTCTCTGTTATAGACCACACACATACACTAAACCTGCTCCATGGCTGTATTACTCTGCTGTTGTGTTGATATGAATAAGTTAAGGAAATCAACCGCTACCAAGAATCTTGTGTGTTCTTACCAACACCTCAAAGTGTACGTCACTCAGAGTGAAACCTTCCCCTATACAGTCCTACCTGAATCCCTATTCAATAGGACTCCTTGAAAACAATTCCTTTTTCCAAAAAACTGAAAAGGTTTTCTTTTGTTGTCGACAAAAGGCTCTCTTTCCGTCATTTTCATTGAGCTGAAATAAACATACCACCGATTGGCTAAGAGTGAGTTTGGGCTTTTAGGGAGGAGCCAAAGCACACCACTGCAAAGGGAAGGGGTACGCTGAATTTACAACCCAAGACAAAACGAGAGCATAATGCGAAACAGAATGCAGCACAATCATCTTTTTATCTCGATTATCTTGTTTTGTCAGGAGCGCTTATCGTGTCTCAGAAATGTGCACAATCCTCTACTCTGTGGTTTAAGATGGAATTACTTAGAATAATTACACTTCAAGTCTTACCTCTGCAAGAACTCCAGGGCAGCTCCCAGTTCGGAGCGATAACTGATGTTGAGGCAGTAATATGCTGCAAACATCAGCATCAGGGCGTCGACAACATTCAGGACACTGCCACTGACGATGGTCTGGTCCTCTGCTATCATGTAGTGTCAGCTGTCTGGGGAGAACTCCCTTAAGGTACACAACAGGAAAAAGTCATAAAAAAATTATAAATCCAAAAAATATTTAGTGCAGATTGTTTATATATTTTTTTACTGGTGATCACATGGCCAATTGTATTTTAGGAATGATCAGCTCATGCAGCTTTCTTTTCTTTCTTAAGTGTTTCCTAATGTTAACAGTGTAGAAAATGTCACATCATAAAGGGATAGTTTGGGTGTTTAAAGTGGCGTTGTATAAGGTACTTATCCATAGTCAGTGTATTACCTAGAGTAGATGATGGCCGGTATGCTCCGAGCTTGGAGATTCAGACAGGAGCAACCACCTGGAAGCAAAGCAATGTACTGCTCTGGACAGGGTCAGCAGAAAAACATATTTTAGCCACCTCTTAATGATTTCCATATCCTTTCACTGTTTGCATAGCAATACCACATAGGACATGTGACATTCCACTTTTTTTTTTCTCTCACTTTATTTTAGAACTATTTTTCTTTTTGTATTACTTTTACTATCTGTATTATTATGTTGCATTGTTGGAGAAGCCTGTGACATAAGATTTTCAACGACATAATTACTCTGTAGCTATGTTAGTTTGACAATAAAGAACCTTGAACCTTGAGAGAATTGATAAAACTTGTAATATGGCAAGAAATCTTACTTGAGGATCTCTGGCTGCTGGTAGCCAACGATGCTGGTACTGCAGCTAACAGCTGAGGGGAAAAAAGAGACACAAGTTTGCACATGCTTGGGTAAAAATAACTTGAATAACACAGCAGCAGCTTTAAGTACAGTAATACCACTTTAACTGAGATTTTATACACACAGATTATCGGCTTTACAATTAGGAATAACAGATGATTTTAGCAGTCAGAAGAATATCTAAAAAATAACTAAAGGAGCAGTGGTAATAAGAACATGAAAGAGTCACATCTAATAGAAATATATTGACGCATTTATTTTAAATGTGAAGCATTCAGTTTACAATTTTAGCTGTTGAGCATTTTGAAAATGTATTTCCAAGCCTCTTTGCAAGGCTTTGTCTTTCTATCTTTATAGCCAGAGGTGTTAAGTAACTAAGTACATTTACTCAAGTACTGTACTTAGTTACACATTTTAGGTACTTGTTCTGTACTTTACTAGAGTATTAATAATGTGTTTCTACTTAGTACTTCTGCACAATGACTACTTTTACTTTTGGTACTTTAATTATATTTTGATGATAAAACTGTTCTACTTTAACTTGAGTAACATTTTGAATACAGGACTTTTACTTGCAAGTCAACAGAGTATTCCTACACTCAGGTACTTCTACTTTTACTAAAGTATAAGATCTGAGTACTTCTCCCACCTCTGTTTATAGCCTTAACATAGGATCTAAAAGATATGGATAACCAAAAAATCTACTATAAAACTAAGGATTAAGCTAACATTAGGAGTTAGTGACAATGTATGCTAGTTAGCTAGCTAAACTATATATTAAATAATATTGCGAAAAAGTAACTCTGAAACATTCACTGCACATCACGCTCAGCCACTCGAGCTCGCATCTTGCGCACCATTAAAAAAAATATATATATAACACCCTGCACGTAATGATGGCATAGAACAGCTCACTTTCAAAGCATGGTAGCTAGCTGCTACCGTAGCTAGCTGGCTAGCTGCTACCTATCTACGGTAACGTTAGCTAACATTACGTTTTCGGTCGTTAATCAAAATGTATACCATAGCTAGGACTTTGACGTTTGCAATGTTTTAAGTCTTGATCGTTTTGAATCCGTTGATGAATAGTTTTTTACCTACCTCTCAAAGTGCTGCTTCCTCTCCTCTGGATGACGGAGTGCTGTGTAATGGGTGCGCCACGTGCTGTGCTCTTCACCTCCTGCGTGCTAACTGCGTGGTCTCTGCGTGGCTGGGTGCATGCATGCAGCAGAAGTCTCGTCTCTGATTGGCTGCAAATCGATTGCCCTGAAAATCCTTTGATGAACATCCAATCCTTGTATTATTTTAAGAATTGGTAACACCACACCATAAAGATTAATTTAAAAGTAAAAATAAATGGGGTACAAACTATTTACATTGCAATTATAATTGTTTAATTATTTGGATTTTATTTTCTTAATTTACAAAATGACAATGTAACTAGTTGATAAATATTCAAACAAACACTGAAGGCCTTCCAAAGACACAAGCAAAATATGTTATAAGACTTCTTTATTGTCAGTTCATTCTTTTAAATTGAGAATAGAGAACACTGATAACTAATGTTGGTGCACATTTATATAAGTTTGATTATGATCAGGAATATCCCATCTGTACTTTGCAGTCCTGTCCCAAGTACAAGTTAAGTAGGTATTAATCAACGTGTACATATAGTTTACTATCATTTGTAGTCATGCATAGTACTGCCTTCCTGATTGCTTTATTTTTGAGAAACCTATTCTGCACCTACCTGGGTTTTAAGAGAGTCCAATACCCTATGTGACTGTTCAGTCTCATAAAACATGCTCAATTTACTTTTTGAAAACACAAGCTCACAATAAAGTCAGATGGGAGATCTACAGAAGCAAAGTGTGATAGACAAAGATGCATTCCTATATTAAACAAACAGAAAAGAAAACTTCCATGAGGCAGTTGTAGCCATAGCAAATGGATTAACAAGTGAATTTAGGTACTTAACCTTCAACTACCTGCTGCCTGAAATCCCTGTGACATCACTGTAGATTGTTGTAACCAACTAGCTGTGTGGGACATTATCACAATACATATTTAAGTTAATTGACTTGGATTTTAAAGGTCTTTCACTGTAGTTACTAGCCTTGTCAACATGCTTTGGTGAAGGCCTATTCTTTCAATATGATGGATTTGAATAGTTGGATATTATTAGACGTCTAATGCGGCTTTCACACCAGCGCTTTTCCCTTTCTAGCTCCTAGCTAGAGCTTTTCTGGTTCAGCTCCGGTTTCACTTTTCAGCTCCCGCTCTGTTCACACCGCCCAGCTGCCGCTGCTGCGTCATGACGTCACCGTTTACATCGCTGATTTTCTCCCCAACGGAGCTCACAACAACAACAACGGGGGGGGACTGCGTCGGGTCGATGATCGTGTTGCTTTTAATCATACGAAGCCAGATTAAATTAAATAACGACTTCTCCAACCTTATACTTTTCTCCAGAGTGCCGTGGTTCATTGTTTATTAATGTGTTTCAGCGGCATTTACCGACCGCTGCAGTGCTGGCTGCTCTTCCACGGGAGTTTATTCTCCCGTTAGCTCCGGGTTAGCTCACACGGCTCTAAAGTATTCACTGTCTGACTGTCACACAAGCAGCTGATACATATCCCCAGTTCCCCTTAAGTGAATGTGTGTCAGTCTGAATTGACGCTGTTTGGCATCACAACGCTGTTATGAAAGTTTCTCTGGTATAACATGGGTGATGCTAGCATAGCAACCGAAGCTAAACTGACTACTTGCTAAGCCATTTTCTACAGGCACATTTTACCGGCGTATTTTTCATTATGATTCTACTTGTGATAGTCGGACATGACAACCTGTGCAGCCCATGTATTGATTCCATCCGATAGCTGCTATAATAACAAACAAAACGTCTGCCTGCTCTCCACAATGATCAATAACAGCGAACGGATGGTCAGAGTAAGGTACAAATAAACAGAATCACACGAAGCCTGGTTAGTGTTGCCTGACTTTATAAAGTAAGTGTGTGGTTGCCTTCTAGTCACTTTGCTCAGCACTACTGCTTGTAGGCAGGCATGACGAGACTCTTCAGTCGACCCATGTTCAGGGGAGGTGGGTTTAGTTTCCTGCACGCCTCGACGCAAGAGAGACGTAAGCGACGCCGCCTCTAGCTCCGAAGCTCTTGCCTCTAGACCGAAATTTTTTTGGAGCTGGAAGTGAACCGCGTTCCGGAGCTATGATGCGGCGCCGCTGCGGTGTGAACAGGAAAAACCGGTGCTTTTCCAGCTCCGGCTCGGAGCTGGAAAAGCGCCGGTTTTTGAAAGGGGCATGTAAGGACAACATTGGTTGTTTGTTTTACTGTAATTGCAATGCTAATACCAATTTAGCATAGTGGTAGCACTAACTGCTAACAAGGTTTTGATATTCAGAGTCTGGCTGTTAGTGCTTGTTAGCATGTTCAACGTTATGGGCTTATGCTAGTGTGATAAGGCCTAGGGGAAGATGCTAATGTTATTTAACTTCTAGATACTTTCATTTTTCGCTTACAGTGAAACTCAATATGTTTTTTGCATACTGTCTGCCAATCACCGTTAGCTGCACAAGTGACTTTGCGGTAGCTTCGCGTCTCTGATCATCTGAAAAGCTAAATGATGTCAGAAATTGGCACAGCTTTTTCTTGTGTTGAAAGAGATCAGCAGGTCAATGTTACTTGGGCTGTGAACGCACCGAACACCAAAACTGCTCCCTGGCGCCGGCTATCTGGCAGCCTCTCTGCGATCCCCTCTCCTATCCGCATGTGGTTGTGTTTGTGCATGTATATGCTCTGACTGTTTGTGCATGTACAGTATATCCTCCCTGTGTGTGTAATGTGTTTAAACACAACAGAGAGGGTGAAGACATTCCCCTCTGAGTGATGAATACATTATATCTTCTTCTTCTTCTTCTTCTACTTAGAAATCATAAGTGAATGGTCACATTAGGTTTGCCTGCAGTGAATGCTGACAGCTATGAGCTAGTTTATAGATGTATCATGGCATATCCAAATGTCTCCTATATAACCCACAGGCTGTTACTGGTGGGTTATAGTATCATTTTATATCTGAATTGTGCTCTGGTAGGAATTCGCACCCAACATGTTAATAACAGTCAAGTTGTTTTTAACTCTATGGTTTTACACCGTTTTTATAACAAGAAATTCATATATTTAACAATTAAATCTTTAAATGAATACAAATGTAGCAATAAAGTGAAAGTCAAAATGTGTTAAAATTTAGTTTTTTACAATAATAGGTCTATACTTGTGTTTTTTCAGTTTATCAATGTAAAGTAGTGGTTAAATTAAAAGGGGACCTATCATGCAAAATGCCCTTTTGTACGTCTTTTATACATGAATATGTGTCCCCGGTAGGGGTGTAACGGTATACGTATTCGTCTCGTACCGTCACGGTTCGGTGCATGCAGTCACACGACGAATACGCCTTTTTTTTACGAGTGGGAAAAAAGTCTGTCACTCAGGGCAGTATCCACTACACTATATATAATCCAGGGGGCGGTATTGCGCCTAAAAGCTGTTTGCCAGCCGCCCTTAAACAACAAATGAAGAAGAAGAAAACACAACAAAACAAACAAAATACAAGAAGAAGAAAAGTTAGTATTGCGAGTTCAGATAACACACAGGAGCTAGAAGAACCACCTGCTTCTTTTAAATCAGCTGTGTGGGAACATTTCGGGTTCCCTGTGGATCGGACGAGGACGGTGTGCCGCCGGCGTTGTTCGACAGCGGTGCGGTATGCTAATGGTAACACAAGCCAAACATGCTAAATCATATCAGAAGGCATCACCCAGATTTGCCAATCACCGGCAAAAGACAACAGCAGTTCAACAGCTTATCATAGACATGAAAGCCGAGACACCAAAAGAAATAACGGAAGCTATTGGCATATATATTTCAACGGCTATGCTGCGCCCTTATGCAATAGTAGAAGACCCCGGCTTTTGTTGGTTGTGATTGAAACACTTTCTTATTATTTATTTTGTAATATTTCAAGACATTCTTTTTAGTTTTACAGCTTATTGAACCTTTTTGTTTGACATCAGCCATTATAGATAATATGGCCATCTGAGTTTGTGTGGATGTTTGTGGTTTGTTTTTAACTGTGTAATACAGTTAATTATTCAAAAATTAGAGTTCCTTATTTTTAAACTGAAACTTGCACTACTGTTCAAAATAAATAAAAAACAAACCTGGAATTAGTCATTTGGGACATTTTTTTGCTTTTTCTTGTTGTACCGAACCCATACCGAACCGTGACCCCCAAACCGAGGTACGTACCGAACCGTGAGTTATGTGAACCGTTACACCCCTAGTCCCCGGTGCTCCAGGGAACTCACCAAGTGTCAGAAAACACAACCCTCTCTCTTTTCCTCCATACCCAAATCTCTAAAAACGGGGCTGCAACGGATCTGATAAAAACTGATCCAGATTTGAACATTCCTCTGACGTCAGGACGGCGGAGCTGACCTATCAGGGGAATGAGAGGTTGCCATGGCATGGTAACAGCATGGTAACACGACGCTCGTAACTCGGCCCCCTCCTTTGCAGGGGGGCGTGGTCAGCTGCAGCGCATGCAAAGACAGGGTGGAGGACAGCAAAATAGAGCGAAATGAGGCATGGCTAAAATGCATGATCTGTTTGGTATTTTGAAAAAGAAAAAACGTATAAATATACCTTATATAGGTATGGCCCTACAATATATTATTCAAATATAGCATGATAGGTCCACTTTAAAGGTAGGGTAGGTAAGTTTGAGAAACCGGCTCGAGATCGCTAGAATTTGAAAATACACAACCGGAGAAAATCTGCCACTTCCTTACAGAGCCCCTCCTCCAACACACACGAACGCGCACATGACCAATGAGGGCACGAGATAAGTTTGTGCACAGATGGAAGGCTGACAGGCAGGTAGGCCATCCAGTTATTTTAGCCGGGCCGGCTAAAATGATTGGTCGTGCTTTTTACAGTACTACGGCTTCCACAGATGGAATTGGATTTTTTGTCAAAGCACTTCAGATATTCATTGCTATCGGGATGTTAAGAGCATTCCATGGAATATAACAAAAAGTGTATCTCGAGCCGGTTTCTCAAACTTACCTACCCCACCTTTAAGCAAAATTACAAAATATTTCTTTCTTTACTCATATATTTTCTTGCAATTATACATTTTTTAAATGAGTATTAACAGTATTTGTTATGTATTTGACAGTGATAGCCATAACAAAAGTGTTTTTTAGTAAAATTACAGAAAATGCAGCTAATTTTGCAAACGGAAAATCATTTATTTTACGGTTAGTTTTGTTAAATTCTCATTTAAAAACTGCTAAAAAACAGATAAATGTATTCCATTTCTACATTTTTTTTGTTAAAATACATGACACATTTCAATAAACCGTTTATTCTTGTAAATTTAATATGATTTCCTGCAATTATGAAATACAATAAAAAACTGTAATTTTCTTTGGGGGAAAACTGTAAAAAAACTTTTTTTTTTACAGTGTACTGGCAGGGCCGGCCCTAGACATTTTGGTGCCCTAGGCGAGATTATGTTTTGGTCAGGACGGTGGCGCTACGGCTATTGGGCCAACTCTCCACCTATCAGGGGAATGTGGGGTTGGGCCACAGCCGGCCATTGCCGCTCGAAAGCGCTGGAGACGCTGTAGTACATATGCCAGGCCTGTAAGTGGCGCTGTAGTCTGCCACAAAAGCAGCGAAGAAGACTTCCCGCCCATAGTTACCATGGTTACCCTTCTGTTTATTCTCCGCTGTGGCTTTTTTTCTCCCTCCCCGAGGCAAGCGTTTGCTCCCGCTGCAAACGCTAGCCTCATTCCCCTCGTTCCTTGGAAGAGGCGGAGAGGTGGGTGTTTGTCATCTGCTGGTGGACTAACCGGAGAGAATTACAGTGCTTGCCTCGACGGGGAGGGATTGCTCAATGTAATCCCTCCCCGTCAAACACCCACCTCTCCGCCTCTTCCAAGGAACGAGGGGACCGTGCGGCAGAGTTTCAGTTTCAGTTTCTTTCGCCGGTCAAGATGTCCGTTAAAGTTTAAATCTTCCGGACAAAATTAGAAAAGTGCCGGTCAAAGGTCTTCTTTGTTATTTATTGAGCTTTAAAACAAATGAATAATGACTCTATATAATAAAACACGGAGGACGGAGATCTCTTTTTCTCCCCCTCTTCTGACAGCCCAGCAGCTGATCAGAGCACGGCTCCCCTCTCCTGCAGGGGGCGTGGTCAGCAGAATCAGACCCGTAGACAGCAAACAGCACATAGAGCGAAATGAGGCATGGCTAAAATGCATGATCTGTTTGGTATTTTGAAAACAGAAACGTATAAATATACCTTATATAGGTATGGCCCTACAATATATCATTTAAATATAGCATGATAGGTCCACTTTAAATGAACATGCCCTCAGACACTGTTTCCTGCAAGATGTTACGGCAGTGCCCCGGTACCGGGGTCTCTCGGGCTTAACAGGTTAAACGATATTTTTGGTTACTGTCCTATAGTATGCATTGGAATGATTTAAAACCCTTTGTTATTAATCTTAATAATTATAAAGGTGTGCCTTGGAAATATTTGTTTTCATAAATTGTGACCAAACCGTTTGAGACCCACTGAGATAACTTAGACTAAAGTGAACTATCTAAACCCTCAGAGTCCTTTACCTCACTGAGCTGTAGTTATCAGCCTCAATCCAACAACAATCCGCGGTACCGATGCGCGCCCTCTCTCTCTCTTGCTTGCTCGGAGGCTCGCTCGCACTTTGGCTGTGAGCTGCGGGCGCCTGATAAGTCAACATCCCCCACTTTCATCACTTACAGAGCACATCGTACAGGGCAAATGCAAAATGTTGCCGACCCGGGGTGCAAAGGGTGTTTACTTTATTCAATTATTAATGTAAATGTCTTACATCAAGGGCAGAAAATTCTCCCATCGCAGCACCCCTCCAGATCTGGCGCCCTAGGCGACCGGCTAGTTCGCCAGTGCCTAGGGCCGGCCCTGCCTACTGGCCTAGTTAAATCAAAGTGGTTACTTTTTTTTGGCTGGGCAGTGAAGTTTTACACAACGTCTTATTTGACTTTCTCAGGACTTGAAACTGTTTTTTGGGGGCAGACCCCCACAAAGAAAAAATATATACACACACATACAAGGTCATCATCTTAACAGTTTTGTATGCTCATCGAGTCATCCGTGAGCAGAGCATCAAGTTGGCATGCCTGTAACAGCTGAATGTGGCGTTTACCATCTTGTTCAGCAAAACGCCTCAAAAACGTATTAAGATTTAAAGCTATGGTGCGATTTGATTCAATGCTGAGTACAGCCAAACTTGACAGTCTCTTCTGTCATTGCAGACCGCAAATACCTCATTCCTTCCGTCTACTTGGATCCGAAATGCTTCTCGTTTTGCGCTGTCCCCCCGTTCAAATGAAATCGCCGCCAATCATATTTCCACGCTCGCGCCAAGGCCGGGGGAGGGGTTACAAGGCTCACGTCTTGTGCTGCATTCACTTGCACTCGGACATTAGAGATTTTCTCTCATAAATGTCCGATGAGCCACAACTTTTCATTCAAAACAAAGCTGCCAACTGGGGTGGCAAGGCATTTTTCTGAGGTGGCAGCTGCCACCCCGTGCCACCCCGTAGAACCGCCACTGCAGTGTACTTATATCTGTACATTTATTTTTCAGCTTGCTTGAAGAAGTGGCTTCAACAGACAGAGATGCAGGCCAGATTGGGAAAGGCTGGACGCTACACCACGGGAAACATTATGGACATGAACAAGGAAAAACAAAAAACACTTTCTTTGTTGCCTTTTTCTTATCATATATAGTGTTACTGTTTTTGTTACCATTTAAATATTGAATTCTATTTATTATTTTTATTTTAAATGCACCTGTTTTAGATAATATATTTATTTTGATGTGTTGGTTGATTTGCAGGTTGGTTGTTATTTGTATAATTATTGTATTGTTACTGTGTATTTTATTATATTAACTAGCTATTTATTGCTATTTATTAAATTAAAATACTGTTATGAACACTATACAATGTCTTTATTTTGGTAGATACCAGAATACATGACACAATGAATCTTTGTAATATATGTACTATGTACCTAACCCTTTTTTTTAGCTGGCAAGGATGACTGGTTTAGCTGGTTTAGCTGGTGCACCAACTAAACCAACTAAACCAGTTTTTTTCAGCAGGGTTGTTCCCCCGTTTTTAGCGATGTAGGTACGAGGAAAAGAGAGTTTTATTTTCTGACACTTTGTGAGTCTTCTTACACACCGGGGACACATATTTATGTATTAAGACAATAAGTTAAACCCAATACTCACATTTATCAGTTATTAAAGTAAGTTAAACCCGATACTCACATTTATCAGTTACTGCTGACGTGCTGCTGAGACCGGACCGACATTTTCTCTGTTTCCTCGTCACCGGCGCGCATTGCATCCTGGGATACGGTGGACTGGAGGAAGAGGATTCTTCAAATCCGGGAAAAGAAGAAGGCCGCTCTCCAACCCGCCCCTACCCCGTCTCTTCTGTCTTTCCGCAGAATCAGAAGTCCTTTATTGGTCCCACAGAGGGACATTAACATGGTTACAGCAACAGTGGAGATAGATGCTGCTCCCAGACCGTAGTGGAGGAATACAGGGGAGGACTCTCTGCAGTCTTCCCGGACTGAAGCACCAGGCTTCGGCTTCAATAACCCACTCTGAAATGAGGCACACAGGCAGGCTGTTCCTTGGGAGGCCGCTGTGTTTCCTCAGGACTTTGTTATACAGCTAACTGGAGACAGACTGATCACTGCTGCTACTCCCGCTCACTTCCGGACACACACTACGCTCGCTCTACACATGCACGCGCCACATGCACGCGCCACACCTCCCTCTCTCTCTTAAAGGGATAGGCAACCCCACTCTGCATGACCCTGCTATTATAGATAGATAGATAGATAGATAGATAGATAGATAGATGCATCACATTCATGAACTAGAGAATGCAATTCCTGAAGAAATTGCTAGTGGGAATGCTTTATGCTGAAAAGCTGACGCTAAACTGCTATGCCGAAATGTCACCGGCATTTGTTTTCAAATTACCATGATCAGTAATTTACACACATCTGGCTAACTCCATATGTGTATTCCCAAGTGAAAGAAATTTGTTTTATCTTAATCTCGATGTAGGCTAGTGCTAAATGCTGTCGGAGTGCACCGGAACGAACACGCCACTATCATAATATCTTCTGAAAACAAATGCCCACACATACACACACACAGACACACACACAAACATACACACACACACGCCCTGGCGACCGGACATAATAATCGGGCAGTTCGATGTGTTTAACCATAAGAAAGTATGTTGTGCGAACGAGAAAGTATATAGTGCGAGAGTAATTAATAAAGCGTGGCCTATTAAAACGAGGCCACGCTTTATTTATTTTTCTCTCTATGAACCCTCCAGGGCTCCGTACTAATGTATAATGTCTTGTCTTGTTATGCTGCTGCCACGCAAACATTCCCTTAATTGGGATGAATAAAGTACTTCTTATCTCATCTTATGTTATCTTAGTAACACGCAGGCCCGTTCCTCTTTGACTGCTATTCGGTGCTTTTATTAACATGTATTGTAGTTTTAGAGGTGAAGGTGCTGCTATTTGGATGTTGCTATTTGCTTGTAGATGTGTCTTTACAACTGTTGATGTGTTGTTTGTAATGGTGGTGCATGTTGTTCTCTCTTCTGAGGCTGAACATATGAATACATTCTGGAAAACTTTGAGAAAGAGACAGGAGCTTCAGAGATCCACGTGTTTTAGAAATGGACATTTTCAAAAACCTCAAATAGACAGTTTGTGTATCTGTGAGTATTATCAGTGAGGAACAAAGTGAGGGTCGGTGTGTGACTGTTAAACTAAAGTGTGTATGTGTGTGTGTGTGTGTGTGTGTGTGTGTGTGTGTGTGTGTGTGTGTGTGTGTGTGTGTGTGTGTGTGTGTGTGTGTGTGTGTGTGTGTGTGTGTGTGTGTGTGTGTGTGTGTGTGTGTGTGTCTGTGTCTGTGTGTGTATGTGTGTGTGTGTGTGTGTGTGTGTCTGCAGTCTGGATCACTACAGCAACATGAGTGACGTCCAGACTCTGGCCATGCTGTGCAGTGTGTTCAGAGCTCAGCCCCCCGCAGACATTTACTCTCTGAACGGACATCACCTCTCTCGATCCTCCGTCTTCCCCCCTCACCCCTCTCGATCCTCCGTCTTCCCCCCTCACCCCTCTCGATCCTCCGTCTTCCCCCCTCACCCCTCTCGATCCTTCGTCTTCCCCCCTCACCACTCTCGATCCTCCGTCTTCCCCCCTCACCCCTCTCGATCCTCGGTCTTCCCCCCTCACCTCTCTCGATCCTCCGTCTTCCCCCCTCACCCCTCTCGATCCTCCGTCTTCCCCCCTCACCACTCTCGATATGTAACTGAATATGAAATATATGAAAATACTGGATAGATGAAGCTCATGAGATACTGTGTTGAACATACGATAGCTTTGTTCCTATGATTAACAGGAGGATTCAGCCCCTAGGGAGATCAGAATCAGAAACAGGTTTATTGCCAGGTAGGTTCACACATACGGGGAATTTGACTTGATGTGATGGTGCAGACATAAAATATAAAACAAGAAATCTAATATAAAACAAAAAATCTTTGAGGACACCGTAATAAAATATAGTTAAATAGCAATAAAATAAATCAGTAATTTACATGGAAATAGAATGCTATCAATGAATTATAGGATATAAAATATGAAACAAGAAATATGTGCAGTATGCAGTATGAACATTGTGTGCATTGATGTGATGCATATAGAGACTACATTGTGGCTGAGGTAAAGTGTCAGTGGGGGGGCCGGGCCTTGTTTAAGAGGGGGTAGCGGAGGGGAAGAAACTGTTAGGGGCGAGAGGTTTTGGTCCTGATGGAGCGCAGCCTCCTGCCAGAGGGGAGGGGGGTGAACAGTTTGTGTCCATCTCCCACCTGTAGGCAGACTCGTCCCCACCAGAGATGAGTCCGATGAGCGTGGTGTTGTCTGCGAACTTCAGGAGCTTGACAGACTGGTGACTGGAGGTGCAGCTGTTGGTATACAGGGAGAAGAGCAGAGGGGAAAGAACGCAGCCTTGAGGGGAACCGGTGCTGATGGTCCGTGGGTCAGAGACGTGTTTCCCCAGCCTCACGTGGTGCTTCCTGTCAGACAGGAAGTCTGTGATCCACCTGCAGGTGGAGTCGGGCACGTGCAGCTGGGAGAGCTTGTCTTGCAGCAGAGCCGGGATGATGGTGTTGAAGGCGGAGCTGAAGTCCACAAACAGGATCCTGGCGTAGGTTCCTGCTGTGTCCAGGTGCTGGAGGAGGAAGTGAAGGGCCATGTTGACAACGTCATCCTCAGACCTGTTGGCTCTGTAGGCGAACTGCAGGGGGTCCAGGAGTGGGTCTGTGATGGATTTTAGGTGGGACAGGACAAGGCGCTCAAAGGACTTCATAACCACAGAGGTCAGGGCGACGGGTGTTAAAGTCAGTAAACACAGGAGACAACTGATCAGCACAGAGCTTCAGGGTGGAGGGGGAGACATAGTCAGGGCCAGCCGCTTTTCTGCTATTGAGTTTGAAAAGTCTGTTTACATCCTTTTCATTGATTGAGAGAGAATTTGATGTGTCGGGGGAGGTCAGTGGTGTGGGAGAGTGGGACACTGAAGGGGAGGGGGACGTGGAGGTGTGAGACTGAAGGTGTTGGGAGGTGTCATGGGGGATGGTGTCAGGACTGAACTCATTAGGCGCGTTCACACCAGAGTACTTTTCCCACAATAGTTCATCAGAACTACGATATATTTGCGTTCACACCAAAAAGCCCCAGGAACTAAAGTAGTTCAAATTAGTTCATCTGACCCGCTTTTCAGTCCCTGCTAGAAAGCAGGGACTGTCGTGGGACAGGAATGCAAACCACGCCCCGTACAACTCCCAAAAAGTTTTATAAAGCAGCCATTTTACTTGCTCGCATTGAAATCTCAGCGTAGCAACGAAGAGATTACTTTTTTGAAAGCAGCTATGGCAACACCAAATAAATCAGCGGAGCGGTGGAGTGATGATGATGTGTCAGTGCTTCTGGATATTTACTCGGACGACGCGATCCAGAGACTTCTGCTGAAGGCATTTTCCAACGCGAAAATGTACGAATGTATTTCGGTAAAGTTAGCGGACATCGGAATCGTCCACAGCGCTAAGTCATGCCGGGACAAGATAAAGAAACTGAAGCAGGACTACAAAAAGATAAAAGACCACAACAACAAGAGTGGTAACGGTCGGAAGACCAGCAAGTGGTACGATCGTTTGGATGCTCTGCTCGGCCACAGACCCTCATTCTCCAGCACCGCAAAGACCATCGATTCTAGCACGATGGGGTGGGAGGATGCAATGGCGGTTTAATTGCCCAAGGACGACAACAAATTAGGTAAAATATACTACATGCACTTTACTGTTTTAATCTGCACAATACTGGTCTCAGATTTATTTGCTCGGTAGATTGAGTTAGCAATGCTAGGTTGAATTGGGTAACACTGGAACCGAGCTAGCTAATAACATCTAGCTAGCTAGCTCGCTAGCTATTCTTGGCCGCTATAAAAACGTTTTGACTTGTGAATAAGTGTGCCATGTTCTGTAATTTGCTTCACCAACTCATGGCACTAATCGTGTGTTTCAGGCAACGAGCTGTTTCCCATGGAATTGGAAATCAGTGAGATTTCCCCTCCGGAAATCCACGGTAGCGCCTCCTCATCTCCCTTTCCAACAACCAAACGCAAAGGTACATATAAACACACTGTAACTACTCTGGCCTTGAAAGAAGGTTACGCATCGAACTGATGTCCACTAATCACGTTTATTTCTTTCTTGGTACAATCATGAAACACCGTGAACATACATCGTTTACACTTTTCGCGCCCTTTTCACTCTCTCACAAACGTAAACATCCGGGGCTAGAGGTCACATAACTTCCGGTAAGAAAACTCTTAATAATTTTTTGACAAAATTAAATTAAATTCAAGCATACATCAAGCACAAAACAATAAATAAGGGCACTTTGAGCGTCAGCTATTTGATCCTATCTTATCTTCTACTTTACACCTGCATTTTGTACACTGTCCCTGCCTGCACCATGTCCAATGTTGTCTCTGTTTACAACCTGCTAGTAAACACATTCCTAGTATGTTGTAAAACTATTTGGCTTATTTCTCCTATTAGGAAAGAGGACACGGGATGACAGCTTCCTGGACACCATCATGGTGATGGATGACCGGCGTTCCATGGCCAGCAAGGAAAATGAGGACCGGCATGCCATGGCCAACAAGGAGATGCATGACGAACGGCTGCTGCATGCACACAAGGCCCAGGAATCGCAGGACCAGCTGCTCATGGTGATGGCGCGCCATGCTGACTCGGCGGCGAGCCAGGTGGTGGTGGCGTCGCGCCAGGTGGAGGTGTCGGCACTCCAGGTGGAGCAACAAAATAGCTTTCAGGCTGGGCTTCTGGGAGTGCTAAGCGAGCTGGTTAAATCCAACAGGCCTGCAATTAAAAATAAAAACTTGTCGTCATTAGTAGACTATACAATGACTTGTTGGGAGGCGTGTGGCGCAGTGGCTGAGTGCGTTGGTGTTCGGATCAGGGGAGCACAGGTTCAAACCCCACTGTAGTCAGCATGTCGTTGTGTCCCTGGGCAAGACACTTCACCCCAAATTGCCTACATCTGGGACAGTAAATGTTGTATTATTATAATATATATATATATATATATATATGCCACTGTTATTAAT